AGTCCGGTCCAGACCGGTCTGAACCGGCTGGACCGGTTCAGTCAGTTATTGTCAGTTTCAGTCCCGGTTTTCAGTTTCAGTGTTATTTTCAGTTAAATTCCGGGTCAAGTTCAGTTCAGTTAATTATTTTCAACTCAGTTTCATACGTAGCCGGTTTCAGTTATACCAAATAAGTCTGAATGTCATGTCAGATTCGATAGAGCATCTTAACATAATTAAACAGTTAAATTATCAGTCTGAGCATAGTCAATAGTAATTGTTTATATTATTTTCAGTTTGATCAGACATCAGCACTGCCAATCAGTTTCAGTTTCAGCAGTTCAGGTGGGGACTCAGACTAAGTACTACATTGTTTATAATTACGCTACCATGGTCGAGGTATGTATAATCAGTTACCGCTCGGAATGGTCGCCGGTCCATTCTGAGTTCTAGTGGCGTAATCTAACCACTAGAGTGTGCACATGGTCCGGTATTAGTTTGTGCCGGGAGATTGCGGTATTAGTTTGTGCCGACAGATTCAGTTATCAGTTACGTGACTTATGTCGCGAGATCAGACCAGTTCAGATATCAGATATCAGTTTCAGTTTCAGTTCAGTTGTATATGCTTAGTTCATGATATTGTTATTATTTATGATGTTTTACATTAGTATGAGTTTCTGCGGAGCACAAGTGTTTTAGTGCTCACGCCCCCACACCTTTCATGTTTTTCAGGTCACAGGGTCGGAGACGAGGAGTGAGCGGGCGAGCTGTTCAGGATATTTATGATTATTGTACTTATGTTTAGCCACGCTTTGTTTCCGCTAAAACTTTTCAGTACTTATTATCAGACTTTGCTCCGACATTAGTCGGATAAGACGTTATGACCGTTTTTATTTACCAGTTTAAAATTTTAACGGTTTTCAGAAAAATCACGTTTTCCACGGTAGCATCCCGAATCAGTTTTCGCAAAATAAGTATTTATTTCAGTAAATTGCGAAAAATCGCGTACTCTGATATAGTAGAAAGTCGGTGTAATACCCCGTTTTATCGTGGATTAATTGTGATTAAATATTGATTATTGTTATTATTAATTTTCTTATTTATTATTATTATTATTATTATTATTATTATTATTATTAAATGCCAAATTGGTATTATTTGTTGTTATTAGTAATATTACTATTTCTAATATTAATTGTCTATATTATATTTAAATAAATAATATTTTTAATTGTGTATTATTAATAAAATAATAAAATGTGATATATATATATATATATATATATATTTTGGTCCGGTTTTATTTTATTTTATTAATCGTGCGATTTTAACCGAGCCCGAGAACCGATCCAATTTCTTGAAGCCGCGTTAGAACCGAGCTTTCGACCCAATGAACCGAATTTTTGACCCGGTCCGGTTTTCCTCCCTCACGTGCATGTGTGTGCGTGTGGAATTTTCTTGCAAAACAAGAAAATAAAACCTAATTATCTAAGGTATATATATATATGTATATATGTATATATATATATTTACGCACCCTCAGCAAAAAAAGAAGCTCTCCCGCAGCCTTTGATCGCCCTCAATATCTGCTCTCTTTCTCTCGTTGAAACCAATCTCTGCTCTCTTCCTCGCCCGCCATCATCATCACCAAACTGATCATCCCATCTCAGCGCACTGTAACTCGCAGCCCCACCTTCATCTTGTTTAGACTTGTCAAAACGGGCCGGCG